CTGCTGAAATGCTAGAAAAGAGTAAATTAGTATCACAGAAACAAATAATGTTATTCAGCAATATGCAGCCAGACATTAGTCGTCAATCAGAAATAGAAATACTTCTTCAGTTTTATAGAAAACTGATCAGCAAAATGAAATACAAGCACAGAAAATTCTGGTAAAGCTGTTCCAAATCAAAAAAAAAAAAAAAATCACTTCTGGAGCTTACAGGTACTTTTCACTCCATTCCTCAATTCAGCATAGCCATATAAATAGCTTCAGAAAGAGAGTATGTATTAGGAATACATTTTGGGAGGGGTAAGCATTGGTCTTCCAACAGGTGAGAAACAGGTGGACAAAGAGACATTCTATATGCATTTCCAGTCAAGAAAGTCTGAAAAGAACATTAAAGCAGTGTTTTGAAGGGGAAAAATTTGTTACTACCCTACAAATACTAGCACTAACACAATTTTTAATGTCAGAGAGTGACATTTTAATACTCACCTGGTAATATTAGTACTTTATCGCTAGAGCTCAGAGGAAAGCCGTCTTTATACCATGTAAGAACTGGAGGAGGAACAGCATTGGTCTCACAGTACAGTGAGAGGGGATTGTTGACAATCACATCTTTACTTTCTCCACCTCTTCCTGCATCCACTGTGTTACCAGTTTCCCATTCCTTATAAGGCTTTTGGAAACTAGGAGGAACTATAACCAAGGAGGAAGGAAAAAAAAGTTAGAATTTTACAGCAGAAATAGCTAAAGTCAAGAAATGAAAATACACTGTAATTGTTAAACAGCAGCAATAAAATTTAAGTGTATTAAATTAACACCTCTCTCCAGTTTAGATTAGCCAGTAAAATTCTAGTTCTTCTTGTCAGAACAAACAATAGAGCAATCAACCGAGTATTTTCTGAAGGCTAACAATATAAGAAAATGTAAGAAGACCTGATAAAAAACCACAGAAGGTATTAATCAACAATAATATTTAAACAGAAAAATATCTGGTTTTACTCAAGTTCTAAGTTTGACTAAATTTTCAGAAATGACTAATGATTGGTTTTTTCTAGTTACACACAGAGTGTAGGCCAAGAGGATGCTTATATTTGGAACAATATTACTCAATACAGATAAATAAAACATAATATCTAAGTTTAAGCTGAATTAAAACCTTTTCATGTTCTTTTGAGGAAGATCAGAGTTACTATATCATTCCACTGATTTCAGAAACACTGTATATGTCACAAATAAGAAAGAAAGAATAATCAAAGGCTGTATTTCTTTAAAATGAACACAATACAAATGGAAAAAAAAATCACACAAAACACAAGCAGATGTAGATGGAACAAAATCACAGAGTTCCAACATTCCAAAACACCAGCAAAAGGAGGCTACCAGAAGAATTTTATTATCTGAACCCTGCTCACCTTGTATATTTACATCAAATTCCATTTCATCCTCTCCAGCAATGTTGGATGCCAGACAAGTGTAACGACCAGTATCTGATACCTGAGCCTCCTTAATCTGCAGCATACGGCCACTAGCCTGGATCATGACACGATCATCTGGTTTAAGCGGCTGTAATGTAATTTTACATAGAAATTAATACTTGGCAAAACACTCACTAGAAATAGCCAGATCTCTAGAAGTAATATGACATCATCTCTCTCTTGGTCAAATTCAGGTTGTTTCAAAATGCTTCCTAAGGCAGTATACTGGGAGTAAGAGTGTATTTTGGTTTTGGTATTTCCACTGCCAACAGAACACCCTTGAATTTTTGTTCATGTCTCCAGCACGGCCTGCTCTCAGTCTTGTGACATCTGATGAAATCAGGCCGGTTCAATCCCTGAACTCACTGCCCAAATCGATAAGCTGATGGAAAACCTACGCGTGTGAAACTCAGTCTAACTCACCCTACAGCTACAAAGCCACTGGGATCTGCTGCCCAGCAAGGACACAGTGTGAACATACAAGGGATGCAGCGGCAATGCAGAGATGCACAGGATTAGGTGCTCCTGTCCCCAGAATTTAGCGACGATGCTTATACAATCTGTATCTCTCAAGAAGAGAAATACAGTGGGTCAGCTCACATGACTGGAATGTGGTCATGGAT